CTTCCCTGCATTAGCCGCATGTATATAGATGCCTCCTATAATAAATGTACATCAAAATCAGTGGTTTTCTTGAGGGCTGGAGAATATCCCAGGATTTCATAGGAGAGGCTGGAAACCTACCAGATAGTTTCAGCCTACTGGTCCAACATTTCATGGCAAGGGTTCAAGGACCAAGGACCTTGTGGGTGTACTATGTTATTTTGCCAGTTTGCCACAATTATGCTCAGGCTCTACAGTACTGGGATTACCTCGTCACCCCGAACTCCAGGCCACATTGGCAGTGCTCACGGGCCTCCAGGATTGTATCTTTCAATATTTGTGGGGCACAAGGTCCCCTGAGTTGAACCTGGCTCCTAAATCAGTGATTTTCAACCACCAGTCTATTAATCAGACACAGACATTTCTGCCAGTTGCAAAAAAATATGTTGAATAAACACATGATATGCTTTGAGGGTGCAGACAAGGGGCCTGTGGTGATGCATAAATGAAACAGTGTGGGTGTACTATGTTATTTTGCCAGTTTGGAAAAATGGTTCTCCCGGTGTCCACATTTACAGGTGTGAGAAAAGTGAAAGTCACCAACCCCATGCAATAACTGAATCCAAACCATCCCGGGATGGGATCTAAAAATCGATCCCTTAGCACAGATCCAGATGGACTCACAAACCCTGTTCAAAATCATGCAAAAGGGGGACAGAGCCACCAGCCTGTAGATGTTCAATCTAGAGGTCTCTTCACTTCTCCCTTCTGGCCTGCAAATGGAAGAAACTAGACAGAAAATACAGCACTCAAATGTTAAAAATCCACGAGGCATTGTCTATAGAGCTCTTCTTTCTAAATAAAGATGTTTCCTCCAGATTGAAGAGATCCCATGGAGTCCATGCAAGCACATCTATCCCATGCACGTCTGCCCCCTTCATCCCTATCTTCATTCCTTTCATGGCACAGGCTTCCTTAAGGTACCCATCTTCACAGCAAGAAACATAGAAAGAAAATTCTCCCTTTCTATATACATTCAGAAACCACTAAGCACTGTTTTCCCGTTGCTCATCAATTTGCTCAAGCGGACCCAGTAATGTCTCCATCGTGAGACTTGTTGTTACTGCGTTTGGCATATCCAATACGTCACGGGTAGCTTGCCAGGCTTTGCCGTGTGGGTGAAATACTCTCGGTAGCTTGCCGGGCTCTCCGAGAGGGGCGGAGGAATTGAACCCGGCTCAGCCGGGCTGGCTACGCACAAGGCAAATGCCCTACCACTGTGCTATCACTCCAGCCCTAAACAAACTGAAAATAGGCGAGCAAGATTATTCATCCAGAATGTGGAAGCTTTGCTCCAACGTCAACATCATGGTTAACAGCCCAGCCATATTATTTGCAAGACAAAGAATTACACACGCCTCTCAGCCTCTTACTCTTCTATTGGAGGTGAGACAGACTCTCTCTCAGGTTATTGCCCAAATAATGGGTATGCCATTTCTTGCCCACTCTCCAACCTGCTGCAAGATAGGTGAAAGAGAATCTCAGGAAGAGGTTCTAGATCATCTTGATTAATCCCAAAAGCACTGTAGCACTGTCCTTCCATTATTCATCGATTTGCTTGAGTGGACACCAGTAATGTCTCACTGCGAGACTTGTTACTGTTTTTGGCATATCGAATACGCCACGGGGAGCTTGTCAGGCTCTGCCGTGCAGGCAGGATACTCTCGGTAGCTTGCCAGGCTCTCTGAGAGGGATGGAGGAATCGAAACTGGGTCGGCCGCTACCCGCTGTGCTATCATTTCAGCCCACTTAGATGTCAACAGTCCAAGCCATCAGAATAACTTTTCCAAACCTCTGAGAAAGAAGAGCATGTAGGTGCTAAAAGAAGGAAGTTTCTAATTCTATTAATTTACCATCCCTATTGAAACTATGAGATTATTTTTGCTTTCTCTCCCCTTAGATTATACTGCTCCTACCCAAACCTTTCTGCCTTACCTCTGGGATTGTCACTAAGATATCCCTCTGGAAATCGCTCATCTACTATTCTCAGGGATAGTAATTCAGAAGGTGAATGCCCCACCCATCCCCTCATGATTCCCTGTGATCCCTCCTATCCCGGAGGCACTGGGGTAGGTGATCCTGTTAAGTCCTTACATCCCATTCTGGAGAATCTGTATATTCCATCCCCCTTATCTCATCTATCCATTTCAGAACGGTTTTGGGATCTCAACAATTCCTGTGAGATTGGAGAAATACGGGTAGAGTCATTGGAAAGAAGAAAGTGAGCTGGTTGGTTATACCCGGAGATCAGGGGTGGGATGAAGGGAAAGGACAAAAGTAAAAAGGTCCAAATAAACCAGTGAGGTCCAAAGCCAGGTAAACAGATCAAGAAAGAATGAGAGAAAAAAATGTTTGAACATCCAGATTCAGTTACGCCGCATGCCAACCAATCTATTTTCTGCAAGCTGCTCTAACTAGGATTTCTGTCGCTTGCAAGCAAAGGAGCCTTGCTTAACACAACTCTCTAGATCTGCTGCATTCCATTTTAACTCTCACCTCCTGCTTGCTGCCTCCTGAGTATCTGACATATCTACATTGAGAGGTAGATATCAATCCCTCTCTTAGACGGTTATTCTTTAGAGCTACCTCTCTAATTGCACAGTTGATTCTGATTCGGATTATTGTGATACTTTTATATTTAAGACCACTTCCTACCTTACTCATTGCCAGAATGTCTAACACTTGGTCAGTGACTCAGGAGTAGCTGATACTCAATGAGTGTGAGCTGAATTGAGTTAATTGAATTTTGTTACAAATACGTTTCAGTGAACACAGTGTCCTTCAACAGTATCCCACTAGGTAGCTGAAAGGGATCAGTCAGCCCCATGCATCCTTGCACCTCACAAGGCAGCGCTGAGATTTCTCTTCACACAGCATGCTTGTTTCCACCTGAGAGTCCTTGCATTTGATGTTTTTTTTTTCTTTCAGGAAAGTTTTTCTCCCAAATACTGCAGTAGAGACCACTCAAGGTTCCAATCAACTTTGTCTCTGGTGAGAACCTTTCTCTGGTGGTCTCACCCAAAGCAGCAGCATCCCAGCCCCCAGAGAGCTGTCTTTTTCATAGCGCCTATCATGACTGAAATGAATTAATAAATAGTACATACTTCTATTACTTTATTTAAAATTGCCTTTCACTCAATGAAAGCAAGGATTTTTGTTGTTGTTCATAATGGTCACTAGCCTCTTGGAATTTTCATGTTCTCAAAATAATAGCTAGTGTACATCCATCTTAAAATAACATCAATGTCAAAGAATAATAAAGAACAAACTCTAAAATTGTAACCAGCATAGGCAGGTGGCCCTAACTATATATTAGATTAGAACTTGAAAAAAAAACTCCTAAATTTTTAACATAGTACTTTGACTTTAAACCTGTAGCTAGATAGAGCCTAAGGGACAAAACAGTTGGAATTTTAAAAAAATTAAACTTGTATATTCAATATTGAACTGGTATATTTCCCTTTGGTAATCATACTGACAGAAGTAATTCTGAAAGAATTCTATGAATATTATAGGATTGAGCAAAAGTAAATACAGAGATGACATTGGTCCTTAATGTGGGATGAGATGCACAAATATAGGATACCCCTTAGTGTGAAGTCATTTTGTTTCCTAGCTCTACCCACAGATTAAGTTTAAAAGAAACAATATGCCAGCAGCAATGATAATTAGTGTTCAATTGCTGGTTTTAAAGTACTGCTTCCACATTCAAAGGAGCCAACTTTCCTTAGTGGGAGGGGATGATTTCAGGGCTACATTAGGGAAAGTGTAAGAAAATTCTGGAACATATGTTTGTTCCTAAAAACAAGGAAAAGCTTAAAGACCTGCCCAAGGGAATAGGAGCCAGATTGAGGAAGACCCATTGATCACATCTGGAACAATAAGACCGATCCAAACTAACAATTATGACAATTTATTTTAACACATTAAACAAAAATACGAGTCTATGTATGTACAGTGACATGCTGAGGGGTGGGGCCACTCCTGGCAGTGCTTGGGACTATACTCAAGTCTGTGCTCAGGGGGTATGGTTATAACTCTTAGTTGTGCTCAGGCGCCCATTGTGGTGTCAGAGGTCAAACAAGGGTCAGTGGCATGTATCTTAATCCCTTTACTATTTCCTAAATCCCCATAGTGACATTTTAAAAGATAATAAGATAGAAAAGAGGTAAGGACATTGCCTAGAGAAAAATACCAGATGACAACTACAAATCAATGGGGAAAAAAAAATCATTTTACAATTTCCAAAGTAACAACTGTCTTAGAGAGGGATCATCAATGGAGGCACAAACTACTGGGTGACAAATTTAGAGTGATAAAGGTCTCAGATGATTTATTAACTTTTTAAAAGTACCTTTGTAAAAAGAAAAAAATGAGGGGCCACACCTTGCAGTGCATAGAGATTACTCCTGGTTCTGTGCTCAGGGGCTCATAAGTACTGCTGGTGATTGAACCTAGGTCAGCCATACTCTCTCTACCTCCCTGAAAAGGTGCTTTTCCAAATAGGGCAGACACCGTATGACTAGTGATAGAGTTTTCATTACCATTTCAGAATGGGACAAGGAAATAGTCTATACCTCTTCATGTGGTACAGTAGAAGGTATATAACTGCATGGAGTATTCCTGCCAAACCATTTTTTTTTCTTTTCTGCCTTCTAAGCATGGAGGAAAAATTCTGATAAATGCAGAAAATGGGGCAGTTGCCAGAGCATCTCTCCCAGACTTCAAAATCATCCTAAATGACCACAAGAAGGAGCAGGAGCCAAAGACTTTACAATCCATTGTCGGTTATAAAACTGGGGTTAAGGCATATGTGGTTAAGAAAAAAGAAGGATAATTGGAGAATGTTGAATATCGATTAAATTGATTTTAATGTCTCTGTTCTGAATGAGGAAGACACAAGTACCATACTGTATTTCAGTAGATGATCTTGGAAAAATGAAAAGATGACTTCAACTTACCTCCCCAGTGGCATAAAAGTCATTCTTCTGATATTGAGGAAACAACTGGAAAAACTGAACTAAAGCTCTACAAAAAAAAAAAAAAAGAACAATAAAAACACATGGAATCAAAACAGGCTGATGCTACACTGCCAAATGTAACCTTTGAAAATGGGCTTCACTGTTGAAATAACACACCAAGTCTTAGTGTGCAGAGCACCGAATTGTCTGTGAATGGGTAGGAAATCCTTGCAGGCTAACTTTGGGACTCTAAGAAGCTGAGACATGTAGCTAATCAACACTGGGCAGGTTTCCAAATCTCTGTGTTATCACTTGGATCCTTGAGCTGTTGAGGACATCCCAGAGCAAAGGGATTCCAGCTTTGCCTATTACAGAGCAGATCTTGCCGGCAGTTAATGCTATGAGCCCATTAACCCAAGTTTGGATGTAGGTAATGGGCTCCTTTGTTCCTTACCTATGTTCCCTGTGGGGAACTCTGGACATTTCTAATGGAGCTTCCTGAATTGCAGTGTTTTAATAATGAAACTTCAGTGTTTTAAAAATAAAAAAAATCAAAGAGTAGAAAAACTACAAAATGACTCTGGTCTAACAGAAAATCACAACGTAGCCCTAGACATGGAAGTCAATGTGCAGTGAGTTCTGTGTAAAGTAAGGTCATATTTGCTAGCCAAGGCCAACAGCCACTTTGATGACTTACGCGAAACAGATTTAAATGGTCTCAAGAACTGACTTCATAATTATCGAGTAAAGGGGAGAGTATTGAATGATTCTTTACTTGACTGAAATCTTTCAAAAAGGAAACAAAACTTTGTTAAGCTCAGCAACTCTGAAAGTTCAGACCCAATTACACCACCAGAGAGGGTTTTGTCCCTACTCCCTAAGAAGAGTCAAAACCAGAAGGCCATGAATATCATCCAGTGAGGATGAAAGGCTAAGAGGCCCTACAAAACCAGAAGGAAGGGAAAACTCAAGGGTTACTGAGACAAGATGCATCATTACAATCACCACTACCCAAGCTCTAGCTTCACTTTCAAAGGCCCCATAAAAATCTGCCATTAAACACTGTTGCAGGGTTTCAGTGTATTTCAATGTATTATTTAGAGCAACTAAAACCTTGCTAGCTACTAAATATGGGAAGCTGCATTCTATAGTTTCTATGTTTGTACTGGCAGTAAGCTTCTTTAGAGCCAAGATAAAAATAGGAGTTTATTCTCTACACTTTCTGCTCCAACCTTCGGGCTAAAAATCACTTTTCTTTCTCTCTTTCTGTTAGTTGCAATGGCAAAAGATAATTTAATATAGTCAATCTCAATTAAGCCTGATGTTTCAGCTAAAAGCTTTTCCGTGGAGAATGTTGGCTAGTTGTTAGAGTTGCTGGATTTAGTAAATAAAAATCATAGAAAAATGTCATGCATGTGAATTTTGGATAAACAACAGTTTTTAGGATGTCCTAAATAAGGCATGGTACATACTTAGATTATTCATTGTCTATCTGAAGTTTATATTTAATTGGGCATTCTAACTTTAACTGGCAGTGTTAGCTGAAGAAGATAATCCAGTTTGCTTTTCACTTTAACATGCCAGGATTCTCTAGCTGAAGGTTCCAAGGCAAAGTCCCACTGGAGGAAATGATTATAGAGTTTTAATTTCACAATAAGATCACAGCAAAAATGTAAAAGGCTAATAATAGCAGGCCTGTGGTAGATATTTATTATGACAGTGAAGAATGATAAGCAAATTTAGCAATTTAGATTTATGTATGTCAGAGGCTCTTTCAGCTGGGTTTTAAACAGGACTATTTTTATGACATTGCAAGGGTTTGCTTATAAATATTATGTAGAACTCAAAACACAGAAACAACCTTAGATGCCCAAGGATGGATGACTGGATGAAGAAGTTATATGTGTATGTACCTCATGGAATTCTACTCAGCTAGTACTGAAGTCAGGTCTTTTGTGACAACATGATGGAGCTTGAGGTGTTTTGCTAAATGAAATAATTTAGAAAGTGAAGGATACTTACTGAAGAGGAGTCATTCACATGTGGAATACAAATAGTCAAACCAAACTTGAAAAGCACAACAAAAAATATCTTAAACTCTGAGAATAAAAAGGTATGGTAGGTATTGGAGAGAAAAAGGAGGAGGGTTGGAAGGGCTGGATCAGGGGTCATTTTGATAGTGTTTGGGGATTTCTGTGTTGGGTGTGGTGACACTTGTGCACACACAGATGTGCAAAGCTACATTCCTGAAGTTCTACAGTATTGTAAAGCTATAATATATCGATGCAAGTCAGTATTAAAATAAAATGCAAAATCATGACACCACGAGCTTTCACATTTTAGCAGAATTCCTAAAATGTATATATTGTGTATACACAAAAGTTAGTTGTAACAGAAATCCTGCCTCTTCTACATGAGTCCTTTTGGTAACTTTGCCAGCACTGTACTAAAGCCTGGTCAAATATTTTAACTTGGGAACTGAAGGTTTTGTCCATAAAACTGAATTTTCATAGGACAGAGGAGTTGGGAAGGCCCTTGGGACACTGGTGGAAGGAAGAGGTCTCTCTGGTGATGGGTGTGGCTGGAATATGTATACATCAAAATAGAATTAATATTATTATAAATCTTAGTACTTCAATAAAAATGGTAAAAAAGTTTTTATTAAGTTAAAGTATAATGTCAGTCAAATGCTATCTGGTGGCAGTCAAATGCTACACAATGACAGAAAACAAGGGGAGGCGGATGACTTTTCAAGGGAGAATGATGAGAAGAAAACTATTTCTCAGAAAAATATTTTGAAAGGGACATTGTGGTGTTGAAGACAGAGAAGACCATGGAAATGGTGAGAGCTATTGATCTATAGAAAGCATGGAGGTTTGGTCAATATGAATGGCCTTCTTGTTTTGTTTTGTTTTTAAGTCACACCTGGCTGTTGTCAGGGTTTTCTCCTGGTTCTGTATTCAGGAATCACTTCTGGTGGGGCTTGAGGGACCAAATGGGATGCTGGGGAACAAGTCCAGATCAGCTGTGTGCAAAGCAAGTACCCTCCCCACTGTACTATCTCTCTGGCCCAATATTGATGGAGTATTTAATAAAGTCATTCAGGAATTAAAATTCTAATACAGAGCTCCACACCAACAAATGCCAAACTTAGTGACTGGAGAGATACTACAGAGGGTAAGGCCCTGCATATAGCCAAGCCATTGCTCTATCCTGGCACCACAAATGGTACTCTGAACACCATCAACAGTGATCCCTGAGCATAGCTGAGGATAGCCCCCAAGGAGACAAAAGCATACTCTGATACAGGTTTAGTCAGGAATAAGCTGAGTATAAAAATCTGGGCATTTCTCCCCTCCTCCATTCTTGTCCATTCTCTATCTTTATTCCATATCCTTTCCTCCCTCATGGATCAGGCAATGTTTCATAACCATGATGTTGTAAAGCTCTATCAATCTATATTATTTCCCACAAAGTTCACTACGTGGAATAGAACGATAGCAGCATTTCCATTCGACTGCTCAAGAGAATAACCTGAGGTGCTTTATAAGACCCAGGGGGCTTGCCGACCACCAGAAAGTGTCCAGCACATGTAGACAACCAATAAAGAGACCGGCACTAGTTAGCATCTTCCAGATCAAAGTCAGTACATTTGTCTTCAATAAATATATTAGTTTTTATTTTTTTAACCAGAGAGGCATTGTGCCTTAACAACACATTTCAAATTAGGCAGAGGGTGGCAAGGTAGGGGGAAGTGTTTAAATATCTTGTTGGGGGGTGGAATCCCACCTATTTTCCAAAAACAAATTAATCTAAATGTGACTGTCAACCGCCTATTTAATAGTCTACTGCTTACAGCCATGCACTATTAATAGTCAAAGGGAATGGGGGCATTTGGGGGTGGGCGGGGGGGAAATGGTTTTTCAAAGAGAAAGCAAAGCCCACTCTTTAAACCTGTAGTAACCCATTTACAGGTTTCAAAGGGACGTTCTTATTCCAAACACCCATCTGGAGGGCCTGAGAGAAGAATGTAGTCACAAAGGGAAACAAATAGTGTAAACTATAAAGGAAACAGCTGAAATCAGTTTTCTGCACTACCCTTGATTAGCTATTTTCCAGCTCTAAGAGCCCGAAGCAAAAAAGAACTAAAACAGCTATAAACAATGGATGCTTTGAAATAGGTTCTCTTTACATGTCATGCAAGAGGAGATGTACCACATGGCAGCAGTAAAATCCACACGAAGGGTCAACTGGAAGCTGTGACCATCTTGGAGGAGGGGAAGGAGAGACAGAAAAGATGGCAACTGCTCTGGCTGGGAGGCCTAATGTGTTTTATATAGAACCTCCACCCTGGGGGCGTTTGCTAGTTAAGCAACTGAGCTTGTTTGGATTAATGCCCAAAGAGGACTGACCAGGGAAGGGAACTCCAGGAAGGAGCAGGTTTCTGATCCTAAGGAGAGAGCTCATTCAGGACTAAATGAGAAAGACATGGTACTTCAATAAATTTGTAAGTTCAACCATCTTTAAATGTGTCCCTGGAGAGACAAAGGGAGAGCATGAGTTTGGTAAACTGGAGGGAACCTCTCTGAGGGCTAATCTGCCTCCAGGGTTCTTGATACCCAGAAGCAAAAGTGTGGGGTCCTAGGCTCCCTCACTGGATACTGAACAGAAGTGTGAAAATAAATGGAAAAAATGAAAGTATACGGAACAGCAGACATTTTCTTTTGTCTGAAGAGAAAGAAAGGGAAATATCGCTGGGAGAGAATCCAGGAAGTTCTCCCCTCTCCTGACTTTGGGGAGAAAGAAGAAAATGGAACAGTTTTGTCTGAGATGAAAAAAGATAATCTGATTCTGACTAGATTTACTCTCACTTTAAGGGATGGTTGGGTTTGCTCACCAAGTAATTAGCAGAATGAGTGTTTAGTGTATGTATGTGTGTGTGTGTGTGTGTGTGTGTGTGTGTGTAGTTAGCTTTCTGGTTGCTGGTTTCTCTAAGTAATTTATTATAATGCATAAAGTGGTGCCTAGTATCCAGAAATGAATATGAGAAATTGGACTCTAGTAATCATTCAAACTGGAAAAATGTGCCTAACTATAAAAGTGCACTTACAAAAAGTACTAAAAATAGCTAAACTAGATGTAAGGAAAAGGAAGAAATCATGTATTTGCTGTTTGATTGGGTTTGTAACCTTACATTTTCCTTCAACTTTTTTTTTTAAAGAAAGAGACAAAAGATTAGCAGAACTTTAAGCTTGGAAAAGTCATTTAGGAGAATGAAAAAGTGCAAGTAAAAAATGGCATCTGAGAATCACACAGGAAGAAATCCTGGAAAAGGAAATAAACAAACAAATACCTGAAAAGATTTCATTTCCTGGCAAAGTGAAATATACTGGGAGGCCAGTATAATTCTTTCGTTGACTACTTCTACTACTTCTGCTGTTTCTTAAAGGCCATTTTTACAAAGTCACCATTGGGCCTTAAGATTTCTGCTCTTCTGGGTCTGTCTCTGCTGGCCAGTTTTTCTAGTTATTTATGAAAATATGCCCAAGTGGAAAATGGGCCCTGTATGTGTGCAGGGATGTTGGGGGTGGGGGTGCTCATAGTTCTACTTCAAAGAACCTCAAGAAGGAGTGTTCCTGAAATACCTTCAGAAACTGATGCTATGTCATGTGAAAAAAATTAGAAAGAAAAAGATAAATACTCACTTATCGCACCCTTATGTGGAATATATAGAGAAACAAAGCAAGAGAATAAACAAAACCAAACCAATAGATAGCCTTGTATTCAGGCCACAGAACTTGAAACAATAGATGGTGGTGAAGGTAGTACTTGTGGTGTGAAGATTTACTTTTTGAAGATGTGTGAAAACAAACAAAACACCACTCCTAAAGCATGTACAGTGATGCCAACCAATAATCCCTCTACCATCAGATGAATAATCCTCTTGACACAGAAAAAGGGTAGAGAGAAGAGTGTCAAGAGAGAGCGGTCCTGTTACCTGTATAAATTTTGTGCCACATCATCCTCATTGGTTGCATATCCCCGGGGATCTTCAGTAAAACTGAAGCCTGTGCCCACCTAAAGGGGAAATAAATATACAGGTATAAATACAGAGCCACGCGTGCCTCAGCGCCCTGCAGAGAGATCTAAGGCTGCAAGGAATTGACTATATTACAAAGACCAGGCCTCTGATTGGACTGTTGCCATCAGGAGGATGCTGCGTTTCATCCCTTTCCCCAACTCCCTCTCTAAAGGCAAACAAAATAGCAGCACAGAGCTCTGCCCTCAGGTCAGTGGTGAAGCCTCCAAATTCTGCAGGGGGGACCCTGCCAGATGTTGATTTAAGGTGGAGGAATTCACCTTTCCTGGCCCCTGCTTCAGTACTCGAAGACCCAAAGTGGTCTGCTCTCTGAAGCTGGAGTGTGCGTTACTCTGTGCTGCCAAGAACAAACCCTGGGGATAACAGATAGCTGTGTGTGTGAGTATGTGTGTTTTCATTTCATTTCTGAGAAATATGGCCACAAAGCCCTTTCACCTTCAGCCAACAAGCAGATTTAAGGCAAGAATTTATTTTAAAAGAATAGTACCGAACACCTAGAAATGCATAGGAAACTGGTCAGTGAATCCAAAGGACAATATCTACTTGTTTCACATCAATAAGCTGCAAAAGGGATGCATACCCCAAACCACATCAGATGGACATATCTGCTGGGAGTTTTTACCCTCAGCTCCTCACGAACACCCGAGAGAGTCGGTGTTTAATTCCAACTTCTGTAGGAATATGCAACTACAAACTCTGAAAGAGGACAAAGCAGACCAGAAAAATGGGGCGATGTGAAGGATGGAATTAGTTTTCTCCCTATTTATTTGTTTTATCTTAGAATCATCAGGAAAGTGAGGGAAATTATTTGGGGGCAAAGCTCTTCCTGTGTGCAGCGCTGACTCTTATCATATCTTGCAGTTTGTCGATTTCAGAACTTCCTGAGAAGAATCTCACATTTTTGTTCCAAGAGGGGGGGCGTTCAGTTCAAGTGAGAAGTGAAGGAGCCCAGCCTTGACTAGCTATGTCTATAAAAAGCAAGGAGTGTAACAATCCATGAGAGGAAGAATCTGTATCTGTGGGGAACAAAACAAGTGTATTTTTTCTGAATGGCCTAATTCAGTGAACAGAAGATTTAGTAAGATTAATAAAAAAAGGGTAGGAGAGAAGGCACAAGTATATTTCCCAAACTGGGTTGTAATGATACCCATTAGAGAAGCTGAATCTCAAAATTGTTTCCTAATAGGTTAGACTTTCTTTTTGAAAGGAAGAAATTGCATCTCTTTATGTTGTAAACACACTTAAGAAGAAGTAAAAAGAATAGGGGCATCTTATGGCTACTCACTGGATTATCGATGTAAAGCATGGAAAATGTGCTGGTCCAACGGAAGTCTCTGCTACGCACTATTAAAAGACAGAATGGAGTTTAACTGGGTCACAGAACTTACTGTCTAAGGCCAAGTTCTGTGCAACAGCCCAAATACACCGACCTGTCCCCCTGCCCCTTGTGACCAACTCTTGGTATATCTCTGGCATTGGTTCCCCCTCTTCTGGTGGGGAATATACTCCAGGACTTTTTCATCCTCGCTTTTCCTTTTCATGGATTTAGAGAGTTTTCACATCTAAGATGAAGGCTGAATGCACAATCCCCAGTAACTCTTTCCTGTTGAAACACCCATTAACCACAGATACAGTAAACGTGTCTGTCCTATCTAATGATTCATCCTTAACATTGGAATTCTCTTCCTTTTTCTCGGTGCTGAAGCAAATGACAGCTTCAACAGAATTGGCAGGCACGCCTTTTATATTGAGTCAAAACAATCTGGTTCACTTTCCAAGTTCTGCTCCTAGGAAAGTCTGACCCTCTCCTCCCAAAACAAGATCGAGGTAAAACTGAATTACAGAAAGATGAGGGTCTCTCTCCACTCCTTCCTTCTCTCCAGTCCCCGCCCACAACATCTTGCTGCCAAGAATCTCAGCCCCTTATATGACTGAGTCATATGGTGTTCAGTCCCTGTGAACAATTTAGGAATAAAATCCCACCCCTTAGTCCCATGTAAGCGCTCTCCCAAATAGTAATAAATACCAACTGTTCTCACAAGCTCAGACTGCTTGGGTCAGCAGCAAATAGTAAAATCATTTATAACCTTTTCTCAGATTTTGAGGGAGAAACCTCCCCAGCCAGGACACTCACCCCAGAGGATCCATTTCCTAGGACAGACTTTGGCAGGAGGCTGTTTCTATAATCTGAAACTGTTTCTATAATCTGAAACTATTAAGCCATTCTGAGTGGCTCAGCATCTTCTCTAAACTGGAGCAGAGATAATGTTGAGATGAAGAATTCTCTCCTGGAAGAAAGAGTCGAGCAGTACTTACAGGTCAGGTTTTTTGTGACAAAAAAAGGTCCATTTTCCACAAAGAGTCCAAACAGAGACGAGCCTCCCGGTCCACCCTGAAGCCAAAGAACGAGTGGGGCATCCGATGGCTGTGTCTGGAGGGAAGAGAAAAACCAGTGTCCACAGTGAGCCCTCAGAGTCGCCCCCAAGCAGGTCACCTCCCTCCCTCTTTCACGCTTTTGGTAAAATCTCATAAAGCCTTCCAGACCCCACAGGCATCTCCTCTCTAAGCAAAGCACTGGTCACCGCATATTGTTGTGAGCAGGTGTTTGTTCATATGTCCATGTCAATTTTGTGCATTGAATCTTTTTTTTTCACCATCAGATGAAGACAAGTTGCCTCTGTATGTCCTTCAACGCCTAGATCAGGTCATAATGTTTTGAGTTACATAAGCTTTGGGGAAAACTCTCCCATTTGACCAACATATTCCCAACAGACTCCTGACCAAAATACATACATATATATATATATATATATATATATATACACACACACACACATATATATATATTAGCACTGTAGCACTGTCCTCCCAGTTGTTCATCGATTTGCTCCAGCAGGCCCAGTAACATCTTCATTGTGAGACTTGTTGTTACTGTGTTTGGTGTATAGAATACATCATGGGTAGCTTTCCAGGCTTTGCCATTCAGGCGAGATACTCTCGGTAGCTTGCCAGGCTCTTCGAGAGGGGCGGAGGAATCAAACCTGGGTTGGCCAGGTCAGCCACGTGCAAGGCAAACACCCTACCACGGGCATACTTCCCGAGATCTGCAACTGCCTTTCAACTTTGAGTCACCAAGAATGTGGTCATGCTGAAAATACCAGGTTCAACAGAGCCAGGAATGGATGACCTCCCCTCCCCTGTTTCTGGCAACTTGGCAGTCACATCCACAAGCCACTTCTGACTGCGCCAGATAATCTCTTCAATGGCCACAATGCAGAGACTCGTTATAAATCTCTCGGAAGAGAGCATATGACAACTTGTGATGGTCAAGCCGCTAAACCCTGCGCCCGGCTGTTTCATTTGGGGCACCCCTGAGGGAGGTGGGTGAAGTGCCTCCCTGCAGTAAGGGACCCAGTCTTGGCAGCTGAAAACCTCCAGAACTCAACCGCTGCCATGCTCATAGCGGCTCTCTTCATACTTCAGCCAAGCCTCACCCATGAGTTCCTGGACCGTGTGGCCGCATATGACATCTCATACCTCACACCACTCATATTCCAAGCGCACCATATTTGATGGGGGTTTAAAGTAGAAGGCAGCCAATCTCAGAGGAAAAAATATTTTTATGCATATATACACAAAAGGGGCTAGAGCATAGCACAGTGGGTAGGGCATTTGCCTTGCATGGGATTGACCTGGGTTCGATTCCTCTGTCCCTCTTAGAGACCCCGGAAAGCTACCGGGTGCATCCTGCCCTCATGGCAGAGCCTGGCAAGCTCCCTGTGGCATATTTGATATGCCAAACACAGTAACAACAAGTCTCACAATGGAGACATTACTGGGCCCGCTAGAGCAAATCGATGAACAATGGGAGGACAGTGCTACAGTGCTTATTTAGAACAAACAATCCAAAATAAATTATTTTGGTTCTGCTTTGGGGCAGAGGTTGGGGTTGGGGATGAAAACATCCAAAATATGGTGGTGGGAAAGTGCAATGTTGGTGGTATTGGTGTTTGAATACTAAATGTAATCAAGTATTGTGAACTACTTTATAAAAATAAAATTAAATTAAAAAAAAAAAGAATGTGTCACAGGAACAGGAGAGACTTCAGTCAACTCCCAGGCAGGTCCAGTGTCTCTTCAGGCAGAGCTTCTTAAACTTAGAGATCCCTTTTTGACAGAGAAATACAACTTGATTGAGCTAGGCCAGAAACCCATCAGATATGTGATGAGTTGGATTTTTAATTAATTTTTGGCTGTTGCACGTTCAAAAAAATTCTATGTTGCCAAAAAAAAATTTTTTTTTTACTCTCCCACATTTAATTTGTCACATGGCTTAAGAAACTCTGATCTAGGCTGTGCAATGCAAAGCCACAAAACCCTAAACAAGGAACCAGCTTTAATGTAGTTGATGTAAATAAAAAGAAGGCATTGACAGGGTCAGAATGCTGAGGAATAGCTATCTGCTGCAGCAGTACCAGCTCACTTCCTGTCAGGATCTGCACTTTCCTCATTCAACACACCTTTATTGGGTCCCTCATAGGGGAAGGTGGGACACGTCAACACACCTCTGAATACCTCAGGTTCCGAATTAAGTGCATGTCAGAACTGTGAGAGGATAAAAAAAACCAAACCCTATTTTCTCGGAAACTCCATTTTAGGAGCGACAATATAAAAGCCAACAGAAATAAACACATGAGGGAAGGAAATCCGTGTGGAGTTAACAGAGTGACAAAAGGCTGAAGGGAAAGGCGCTTCCTAGAGACGCAGGGATCAGGGAGATTCTCAGACGGAACTGAGGTGGAAGGCTGAGAAGGTTTCAGGCCCAAGAAGTCAGGGCACAAGGCTGAGATGGAGGGAAGTGTCAGGGAAATCCTAGGCCAAGTAGGAGCCCTGTGAGAGCACTGAGCTTGAAGGGCACTGGCATTCAGCAATTCCTCCAGAGCAACTGGAAAAAAACTTCACTGGGCTCCAACAGGACCACAGGACATGGACCCTCCACGGGTCACAGGTCACTGGTAGGCTGTCAGCTCAGTTCGCTGGCAAGGAGCCAGCAAGTTGGTCTAGCCTCTCATGGTGCCTGCTCGTGGAGCTGGTGGGGGGCTGTTGAAAGAAGCCTGGAGCAGAAGAATATGCAAGAGGCCATAAGCAAGAGAACATGCGGGAAATCTTAGGACAATCCCTTGTGCATGATGAAAGCAGAGTCAGTAGCACTGTAGCAGTCAGATGGAGACAGTGTTTCACTCTGGGGTACTGGGAGATCTGTCTCATCCGCTTGGGTGAGGTGACAAGTAGGAAATCTAGAAGGCTCCTAGGGGCTTCACAGGTGAAGCTTAGCATGAGGAAGGTTCTCAAATCCAGGTCTGGTTAGATTTAGGTCTCAGATTAGTGCAGGGCTGGGTGCAGGGGCAGGGGAGAGATCTACAGGGGATGGGTGTAAGAGAGAGCAAGTGATCTGAGATTCCACAGCCAAGAACATGGCAAAGAGATGATCACGCCAAGTTCTAACCACCCCAATATGCAGTGACAGAGAGTTTTCTCTTCCTCAAGTCTGGCATCAGGTCCTGAGCAGCTTGAGAAAGGAGCTGGTGTGGGGGTGTTGAAATAGGCCTGGAACAGAAGAATACGCAAGAGGCCAGAAGCAAGAGAATATGTGGAAAACCTTGGGACAATTCCTCGTGCACAATGAAAGCAGGGTCAATAGCACTGTAGCACTGTCTTCCCGTTGTTCATTGATTTGCTCGAGTGGGCACCAGTAACATCTCCATTGTGAGACTTGTTGTTACTGTTTTTGGCATATTGAATACGCCATGGGAAGCTTGCCAGGCTCTGTCGTGTGTAAGCAGGATACTCTCGGTAGCTTTCCAGGCTCTCCGAGAGGGATGAAGAAATCAAACCTGGGTCAGCCATGTGCAAGGCAAATGCCCTACCCACTGTGCTATTGCTCCAGCCCGGGGATGTCATCAAGAAGCAGAAAAAGTTGGGAGGCAGAGCCAGGCGGCCACTCAGTAGCAGAGCTTGGGTCAAAGGGAGAAAGCTCTTGCCCAAACTGGGTTTAAGTCTCTGGATTTCCTCCCCACGCACTGTGGGGCTCGGGAGCAGCAGCCTCAGTTGTCAGCGTCTCTCCCCAGGTAAAAAATAAGCATCAATAATAGTACATAAGCCACATGGCTGTTAGTTTTTGGTGGGATATGACAAGGTTTGTACATCCCATGGGTGGCATCCGGATTCTACAAATAGGTACTTGTTTGTTTTTTGTTTTTGTTTTTAAAGAAAATTATTACTGTGGTTTAAGGACCATATCTGGAAGAACTCAAGGCTTACTCCTGACCCTGTCCTCAGGGAGTACTCCTGGCAGTGTTCAGGGGACAATATGCAGTGTCAGGGATTAAACATGGATCACTACATATGATGCGAACATTTTACCCAATGTATAACCACTCTGGCGCCTGATTTCTTTGGTCTTTGATTGTGGAGTTTGGGGGGCTGTACGTATATTTTGTGTACATTATATAGTCGAGTTCCTTTTGGATTTTGAGGGAGGCTGGGGATTACATCTGGTAGTACTCAAGGGTTACTCCTGGCTCAGCACTCAGGAATCACTCCTGAAGTGGTCAGGCGACCATATGGAATGCCGGGGATTGACCCTGAGTTTGCCATGTGTAAGACAATTGCCTTTCCTGCTGTATACCATCTCTCTGGCACCCACTCTTTATGGTTTTAAGGGAACCATATGCAGTGCCAGGGATCCAAACAGGACTGGGAAGCACTTTAATCCCTGTAAGATCTCTTTTGCTTCTGCAAATACACACTGGTATCTGTGTGTGTTCTGCAAACATGAGCTATTGTAACAATAGGAAATCTAGGGGACTTCTAGGTGTCATGAACATTTGTCATTTTTCCTGGCCCCTGAGGCTGACATCTTCTTCCTGACAGTTCTGCACTAGTGAGGTCTCTTGCCTCAAAGATTGCCAGTGTCCATAAGGAGTTTAAGAGAAATGGAGACTATTTTTATAAGTTGAAGCAGGAAAAATAAAATCCAAAGAGCCTTGTAAAGATACTGCCAGCAGTAGGACAGGCTGGAAACCACATCTCCAATGTAGAACCCTGGTACTGGGGTCCGGCCTGCCCTCATCTTCCTCACCTTTCAGATGGCACCCCGGCCCATGTCACAGGTTTGCTGAGAATTCTGTGCTATGGTAAATGCCACTGTGTGCAAGGACTAGAACCCCCTGTCCTGCCCTGCCTGGCCCCTGCTCTGTGTGTGTGTGTGTGTATGTGTGTGTGTGTGTGTCTTGTTTAACTCCATGATTTTTATCTCCCCTCAGGCCCTTCTACTTCCTATTCGATCCCTTTCACCAAGAACCCCTTTCACCAGTGCTCCCTTTGCAGGCAACACAAGTGTACCTAAGAGGCAGACACAGTGGAATCTGT